AGAAATGAGCAAGAACGGGCTGCTCGTCGGGCACAGCGCGGGGTATTGTTGGCGACAGGCGGTAGCATTAATACGGCGGGTGTTGCCGAACTGGCTGCACAGTTACTATTTCTCACAAGTCCCAAGCAGCACCAGTACCCGCTTCAGAGCGGATCGCGAGCCTGCGAGCATTGACGCGTAAAACACGGCCTAAGCGTGCCCATGTGAAGATCCTCTAATGACGCGTGCTTCGATCTTAGCGGAGCATCATGTGTCTTGCTCGCCTCACTCGGTTCGAGAACTCCGAGTCCTTCCCCGTTCTAAATTTCTTCTTCTCTGCGCTCATGTTCCCATTCGTCGCTCGACGATTTTTGTCACCTATACTCTAGCGTGTTTTGGTCTGTTTTCGTGTGTCTTCAGACCTTGCGGTCTATTCACGTTCTCAGACGAATCACGCTCCGAAGGTCTGTTTTGCTTGATCCTCCAATGATTGTCTGATTCCGAACTTCTCTGCTTCAGCCTTTCTCTCGTGTCACGCGCTCGGTCCAGATCCCCGCCCTCTTGTGCCGGTCTGGCAAAGCCAGACCTTCCCACACACAAAATGAATCAAGAGCTGATGAAGTCTCGTCTGATTCGTTTCTGAAAGCTCTTCCTCTCTCACCTGTAGTCTCCTCACTTCGACTACTCACGTCTCTACCAATATTAGTCGTTGCAACGGCGCTATAAATATTGACTTCCTTTTATCTTCACGCGATCATACAAAGGTATTGAACCTAGCCTGGAAACACTATAACCTCCTCGGTGTAGTGGTGCGGAGGCCCGGGTCTATCGCCTCTTCTTAGTCGGCTAACGTGGAAGTCACAGGTGCTGATCTTTATATATAGCTGGACGCACACATACTTGTATCTTATCGCTCTTTTCCCGTACCATCAATCATACGCTTTTCCACCTCATCGCCTGTCTGTTTAGTATTGCCGTCGACGTGACGGCCTTCCACCATCATGTCCAACATGTTGACTGCGTGTCGGCGATTAGCAGGTCCGCGTACTCGACAAACTCTCGCTCTAGCTAGGTATGCCAGTACAAGCACTAAGGAAAAATTTCGAGTGCTTGTTATCGGAGCAGGTGCACACAGTCGATGGAGCTCTTTGAATGAACGTTGATGAATCTTCAGGTTCTGGTGGGTTGACTGTCGCCAACCAGATATATAACCGCTTCAAGGCTGCCGGAAAGCCTTTGAATGCAGGGGATGTGGTGGTCCTTGATGCAGCAGACTATCACTACTATCAAGTAAGCGCTCAGAATCATTAACCTGCTCATGTGAGCTACCTTTTGATGGCTCCTCCTTTCAAGCCTGGCTGGTAACAGTTTTTATTCATAGACTCTATGATACGAAACCTGACGTATCCTTCAGGTCTTTGGTCGGTGCTGGTATTAGCCCTAAAACAGACTTCAGACGACCGCTCGCATCCCTATTCCCGCCACATATTATGCACATTGCAGAGAATGTCAAGTCCTTCCATCCGGAATCCTCATCAGTCACGACAACGTCAGGTCGGACAATTTCATATGATTCGCTTGTAGTGGCAGCAGGTTTGAAGATAAACTGGGACGGCATCGCTGGCTTGCCCCAGGCTCTCGCTGATCCTTCCTCTGGTGTTTCCTCAGTATACTCCTATGATACCTGCGACAAAGTCTGGCGCGACGTAGATGCTCTCAGGTCCGGAAATGCTATTTTTACCCAACCTGCAGGTATCATTAAATGTCCAGGGGGTAAGTCAAAATTTTCTCTGTATGGTGGCTGCTTACCGTCTTCTAGCTCCGCAGAAAATCATGTGGATGGCCTGGGACAGATACCAAAAATCTGGGCGAGGAAATAACATCAAAATCGACTTCATGAATGGCATGCCATCCATGTTTAGCGTCAAGAAGTATTCCGATGCCCTAAACGCCATGCGCATCGAGCGAGGTGTCGGAGCAGAGTTCCAACATAACTTAATTTCCATCGACGCGGCGAACAGGAAAGCAACTTTCAAGAAGACTGACGGTTCGACCGTGGATCGTGATTTCACCCTCCTGCATGTCACACCGCCGATGGGACCGCTAGACTTCATCAAAGGATCGCCCATTGCTGATCCAGCGGGCTGGGTAGAAATCGATCAGGCAACTCTCAGACATGTCAAGCCCGAGTTTGGAAACATATTCGCTTTGGGTGACTGCTCCTCCCTGCCCACCAGCAAAACGATTGCTGCCATCACATCCCAAGCCCCTGTCTTAACGGAAAACTTGTTTTCGGTCATGGACACTGGCAAAGTGAGCAGTGCCAAGTACGATGGCTACACCAGTTGCCCGGTCCGTCTACCTCCTAACAACATTGACCACTTGACCAAATTCCAACTTTAGCTTTTGACGGGGTATGGGGAATTGATGCTAATCGAGTTCATGTATGGATTTGTGCCTAAAGAGAGTTTTGCCAAATACCTGGGCGATCAGACCAAACGGAGAAGGTTTGTCCTTTGTGATTCCCACTTGCATCATTGCATTGAACCTGCCAAACTACTCAGATTATTCTATCACTTCAAAAGGTACGGAGTACAATTGGAGCTGTAACTCCTAAAATAGGCTTATTGTCTGCCATTATTAGGACCTTTTCCCTTGGGCCTACTGGAGTCGTATGGTGGTGAGTCTTTTGAAACAGTTCGTACGGGACTCTCGGAGTATCTTATGCTGCGCCGTACGCCACAGGTTGACGGGAAATGGTTCGGCCCCTCGGGACCATTCCGTCCTAAGTTTGTGTGACAATGACATTAAGGAGTTATCGGAAACAATAATACCCTCAGTTTCATGAATAAATTGATTAGACGACTGGATGGCCCCTTCGTAGTTGCTGGCGCCGTTATATTCGTAATACGAAAGATCACTCGACGAATTTCCGCGGCATCGTGAGCATTGCCTTGAGGTACTCCAGCGAGGACCGACATCCCTATCTCAATGTGAATAAGAACCCGTTCGAGATCCCTGATTGGGTTCTGGTGCTTGAACTCACCATATTGACAAGTATTCACTCGTCTCCAAACGGAGCCAGATGCTTTTGCAAGATCCGGGCCATTCCTTCTAACGTCCTAAACGGGTATGCGTGCAAACGGCTCCGAGGACTATTCATGTTTAGCATCCACATCAGCCTTAAACAAACTTCGTGAAGTGGGTCCACAGCGCTTGAGCAACCGACTGCCAGTGGGAGCGAACTTCAACCTAGGACATCAGTGTGACTGAGCATGTGACCATGTACGTGACGCCGCGTTTGTCGTGACTTGTGACCACAACGGCTTCGACACGCTCCACGATGTCGAGGGCCATGACTACAGCTCAGGTCATCGGCCTGGGCGAATATCTTAACCCTGAATTTGATCCTGCCACACTTACAGTAGCTCAACTTCTTGGTGTTCTTGGATATCACAACATTAGATTTCCGACTCCTTACACCAAACCAAAACTAGTGCAGCTTTTCCTTGATGAAGTCAAGCCGAAGGCAGCCAAGTTCAAGAAAGACAGACTAAAGAAGGAAAACAGTGCTGCTAGCGATGATGGAATAACCGATGGCATGACGGGGAAACCCCTCAGTGGTGCAACTAAGGTGCTTTCTTGGTATAACTGCAGTACCTCTTCTCCTGTTAATGAAATTCAGCCAAGGCGATCTTCCAGGAGACTTTCTCATGCACCATCTGATGACGATGAGCCGCCACCTCGACCAGATCCGGTATGGACGTCATTTACCATGTCATGACATGCCATCCTAATCCTGTTCCTCAGCCGAAGCGCCGTCGTTCGTCAGCACAACCCAGCCTTGGTGGCGCACATAAAACTATTGCTCGCGCCGCCGTGCAGCCCGCAGTTATTGAGGAAAGTGAACCTGAAGAGGAAGACCCACCCTTGCGTAAGGTCGGCAGGAACAAGAAGAGTGTGAGTGGGCGTTATGTTCGACAATAAGGTGCGCTAACCATTTGTGTTACTGTAGTCACGAGCTGCTGGCTCGCAAGCGCGCAGAATCTCGGTAAGTGAGGGAGTATTTTTTTCGGTATTTGTCTGACTCTGTTTCCAGCTTGCAGATGACAGCGGATGGGAGGACAATAACATTTTCCAGTCTGGAGCTGAATCATCTTCGCCTGCACGGCCGTCTCCTATGCGTCCTCAAAGTGCTAGGAAAAGTGGTTCTGTCAAGAAGTCACGCCACTCAATGTCAGCACCTCCCCAAGCATCTCCGTCTTTATCTCCTCCGAAAGCGCTTCTCTTCCCAGTAGATCTACAACGTTCTCCTCCGCAGTCAAAGTTTGAGCCAGAACTTCCTCCCACGATTTCAAGAGCGCCCCGAATTTCAACTCCGTCGGAGACGGTTCGTTTCAGTCCCATCGAACATCTGTCTAGGCCGAGACCTCCATTGACATCCAAGGTCAATGCCCTTGATTTTGATGACGCCACAGATGTAGTTGATGGCCAGACTCCTGATGAAAGCCAGAGCGACAGTTTCGGGGAACCTGATTCGCTAGAGGTTGCCGTATCCAATCGTATAGCTGGTGGTGACCAATTGGTTCGCCGGCGCCCGGCCCCTCCGCTGCAACGCTCTAGGTCTCGTTTGTTGACAATTCTCTACCTAATTGTGATGGTCGCCGGTTCCTACTTTGTGAAGCAGTACAAAGATGAATCATCCCTCATTGGTTACTGTGATACTGGCAACAACACCAATCAGGTTCTACGGGACCTTGTAACCCAACGGGAGGCAGTCCAGGCTTGTAACAAAGATAATAAGACAGTTCTATATCTCCCGTCGGTCATATCGGATACTGGGTTGTTCGAGGATGGAATTCCATGTCCATTTCCACCATTCGTTCCAGCCTTGTATCCCTCAACATGTGCTCCTTGTCCAGAATTTGCGACTTGCACGCGACATTCAGTGGTCTGTAACCCTGGTTATGTATCCCGTCCACACCCTCTTCTTGGCATCATATCACCTTTCGGCACCGCAACCCCTCTTGTGGAAAGCATATGGAGCTTGATTGGTAACGTTACCAATGGCTTACCAGGTTTGGGACCTGTTGCGTTTCCCCCACGTTGCAGTGAAGATCCGAAACGGAAAAGGAATATAGGCGCCTTGGGCAAAGCGATAGAGGTGCTTCTCGGTCAGGAACGAGGGAGACGCGTGTGCATCGGGAAAAGCAAGGTCGGGTGATCGACAACGATAGTGAAGGGGGCGAGGCCATGAAATGGGGTCTAGAAATCGAGATGCTGAGGAATACAATGAAGCGCAAAACAGCAGTGAGTTTCTCAGACCATTTGTTCAGATGAATGAGCCTATGATATTCTTGGACCGGTAGCCGCATCTTCTGGCCAATTTTGATGACACGTTCAATGAAGCCATACAACAGCTAGTCCAATGGGGTTCCGTAATTTTTGGGGAGGACAGCACGTGAGTTGATTCATTGCGAGTGCGCATTCTTAATATTCTAAATGAGAGTAGAGGAAATCGTTATTTGGCTCATAAGACGCCACACTTGACTTTGAATTGTCAATTTACTGTCAAGTCTAGGGAGCTTTGGGAACAGTGGCGAGCGTCTGTGTATGGTAAGGCTTACGAACCTATCTTATGTTCCGAAGCCTCATGACACTTTGTTCAGCATCTATTGCATGTGTGCTCGCGTTATATTTCATAAAGCGATCTCGGGCGCTCCGCCATATCGAGGGGAGACGTGTGGCAGAATTAGTGCAAATCGCACTTGATACTTTGCGTAATCAAGAACTTGCGCACCACACGGATCCAGTGACGGCACCGCAGCCATATTTGTCCTCTCTGCAACTTCGTGATCTCATCTTACAGGATGAACATTCAATATCAGCTCGAAGAAGACTATGGGATCAAGTGGAGCGTGTGGTCGAAGGGAACGCCAATGTGAGGGCAAACCTTGAAGAAGTACAAGGTGGGGATGAATTACGTGTCTGGCGATGGGTAGGATCTACGGGTGGACCAGAAATTCGGAAGGTTCAATTTCAGACGCAAAAGGATGAAGTGAACACTAATGCCCTGTGAAGCACCCCGGTTCTATGACTAGTAGTAGTAGTTGATCGATTTATTGTTGTTTCTCTCCTATATAACGTCTTTATCCCCTCAATCTTATTCACAATACTGGTGGCCAAACCGTCGTTTAACCAATCGGAGTTTCTTATTCAAATCCCGGTGTCAGATCTTCTGAAATGTGCTGCGCCCACCTTGCCAGGCACACTACCAGTGTGACCTCAGATTAGAAGTCCAATTGGAAAAGGGACTCGAATAGTACGAATAAGGCAAATACATTATCGAGAATCCTTATCAGCTTCTGGGACCCTTGATTAAATAACACTGGAATTAGCTGTAGACTATAGAAGATTACGTCGCAATGCCCTGTTGGATCTTCTCCATCAGTGCCCTCTTTGCAAACTGCTCTTCTGCAAGTACACGCGTACTCTGAGAGCCCAAATAGAAGAGAGAGATAGAAGGACCGCCATCAGTTGAAAGTGACCAGGTGATATGAAACCTTGAAAAACTCACCCTCAAAAAACGTTCTAGATCAATACGTCCGGTGTTTAAAGCCCTATGGAGATGATAGATAGTATCTTCTATGGCATTATCATCGGCGACCAAGTTGATCAGCCTGTTTGGAAAGTCAAATTTACGCCGGTCAGTAGTCGCCGCTGATATTGACAAATACATACTGGTTGTGCACAATGCTCGTGGAACAGATCAACTCATCGACTTCAGGATCTCCCTTCCTGCGCAATTCAGCGATGTTGCGCTCCCCTTGATCAACAGTATTCCGCAGTCTGCTAGAAACATTACTACAAACGTCTCGAACGGCTTCTAAACGCGCCATCTCATCCCGGATGGCGGGTTCTCCGGCAAGAAGGTCCGATTGCTGCGCTCGCAGACGTTCGTCATCCAGAAGCATGATTTGAGACAGAGAAGCAAGCTCCGAGGCGATCTTGTCATGTACTTGGGCGTGCAAGCGGAGCAACTCTGGGTTTGGTGGCCGTGGCGGTGCTACTGTGGGAAGCTGCGGCACAGTAGGTGACGAATCAGCAGTCTCCTCATCTAGGAGGTTCAGTGTCGGCTTGTGCCACAAGTCTGGTGGTTGTGGCAGTGGCCCCTGTGGATATTGTGAAGTAACCGGAGGTGATGGCGTGTTCGGGGCGCGTGATTGATTAAATTGACCTGATATGGCTGGGCCACCGAGTGGTGCGGACCAACGACTGTCATGATCCGATATCAGAGCGGGACCTCGTGGTGGTACTACAGGTGGTTGGAGCACAGTGCCGTCACTGTGGTTTCTGAACGTGTGCTGATAGTTGGAAGGGCGGCTGTAAGTTGGAGGACCTGTAATTTGAGGTGATTGATTAGAGGGTAGAGCCGGTGGTGGCCGATTGAGCAATTTCGCCTATGAACATCCATTTCATTAATGACATTCATGAAGAACAGGGTTCTCACTGTAGAAGAGTATTGAGTAGAAGCAATCGGAGCTGCCACCACAGGCTTCGGTGGTAATAGAGAATGTGGTGATGAACTGGGTTTGGGTGGAAGCGCTGGTCGATCATCACCTTGGGAAACGCGGCCAGGTGACGAAGGTGATGAGAGCTGTAAAGGCGAAGAGGAAGGCGATGGAACTACAGTTGTTTTTGGTTTGGCGTAGACTGGCGGACCACGGGAGAACTCTTGTTGCAATGCTTCGAGTAAAGCTGATAGATTACACGCCTTGCTCGGGGATGAATTTGTTCTGATCGGTAGTTATTCCACTAGTGGACTTACCTCGCTCTTTTTTTCCCAGTGTTGGCTATATTCAACTTTACATCTGCCACTTACATCAACGTGGTTACTCGGTCTAACGAGCATGTCTTGGGTTGGAACAACATATACTATTGGGGGCTGGCGGGGGTACTCTTTGGTGACCCATACAGCGATCGGGATATTATATGAAGCGCCGCGAAAGGATATTGGTAAGACGCCATGTAGACATAGTAGAAGTTGGGTTCGACCATCATCGTAAGCTGAAGTAGGAAGATCAACTGGTGGGATTCAATACGGAATCTAATAATCACTGAACTGTACACATCTGATTTTGGACGTAGAGTTGTGAAACGGGCGAGCGCAGTATCAAAATCAAGAAGAACGCGGTCTTTCTGAGTATATGAGCTGACGTTCTGTCGTAGCCATCTCTGGGTCAGGGATTCGGTACTCATTCTTACTGTAGTACCGGTAAGTGGCTGTGTCCTGTCATTGCTTAATCGGAGTCGGTATTTTATTTCTCCGCTTGAACACGGCACGAATATATCGGACCGAAAGAACCTTGGCAACGGGCCCGGTCCATGCATCAAGTATGTAGCCATCCCAAGTAGTAGCTGGGTCTCGACCATATACTGTTACATCCCCAAAACTCTGCTTATAGGGTCAATGCGACGGCGCTTAGATCTTCTTCAGATGGACCAGCTTCCACTAGGATGGCCGTGAATTTCCATTTTTGTGGTAAAGAATCTTAATTGTCAGTATGAATCGAAAATGCGTATTTTCTCACGATTAGTTCCTCGATCCGTTATCTAACCAGGGCATTTCAATAAGATGCTAGCCGAACTAGCGGACCCCTCATGCCCCTTCCGGATCTTTAGCCTTGGTCGTCAAAATATCGCAACGCTATGCTGATTTCGTTCTTATTTAAGACTGCCGAAACCGGGTCTCAGATATATAAAGGTTCCTTCATCCCCTCCTTTTCCTTCGTATCACTCAGCTTACGACCCACTTAGGCAGCATACGCTCACCAGCACTGCCCTAACACTGGTGCTGCATTCTTTGACATGCGCACTTCACGACTATCTGTCTCTCGTGAACGCGATGGAACGACCCTCACTCCTCAAAGGAAACACCGTAAATTACTTAAAGATGGCTCCAGTGAAGTGTGGCCAGAAGAGATAGAGAGAATATTCGTTCAAGGTTGGTGCCCCACCATCATTCCTTCCTCACTGTCTCACCCCCTACTCAGGTCTTCGGGAAGTACTGGGAATCACCTTGGGCGACTTACTCTCGCGGCAGAAGTCGTTGGAGAAACCAATTCTTGGTCGAATACTTACAGCGCGCCGGAATAGACCGTTCCAAAAAGCAGGTTGCAAGCCACATACAAGTGCTTCGCAATATGTGGAAAGGCGAACAAGGTCAGATAACTTCATTGAGCGTCTAATAACACGTTGTTAATCAGCTGTCGTCTTAGAATACCACTTGGTGGCTGGTGGCGAGGAACTATTTCTTGATACCGGTCTCCCCGAGTCTGTCAAAGCAGAGGAGTCACCCGACTCTCATCTGTTGGCGTCGATGGTCCTTGATGATCATTCGCCAGTATCAGACCGTTCCGGTCGTTCGGTATCTCGTACGTCCCGCTCTAATCTCCCTCGTGCAAGTCCCGCCATAATGGGTTCAAAGACCGAACCCCCAATTCCGCCATATCCGAGTCCCCGGATACAAACGGCTGATGACGGATATCGTCGCGTAAGGTCGATGTCCACTTCTGCTGGCGCTGACCAACGGCGACTCTCGCCGCTGGCATCTTCACTCTGGACCCCTGATGTGTCGGTCCGGTCAACAGCATCGCAATCATGCCCAAATGTACCATATACTGCGACACGCGCGGACCCAGACTTCAGCCGTGGCTATGAACGGCTAAATCAACCCATGCTCACCGCTGACCAACTATCATCGGACCTTCTCCTCTCGAATTCTCCCCGGATTCAGAACGCATCAACACTCTTCTCTTGTGCACTTCGTCTGCCGATATTGACAGGATTGTCGCTTTGGGCAGAGGGCATGCAGCCCGCCACGGTGCCGGTGGATGCTCTTTCCTCGCAAACACAGCCAGCGGACCTAAACGCTTCGGTCGTGGCGCTGCGTGTGAAGCTCCGTCTCCCTCCCATAGAGGCTCCATACTCTCCGGCCCTCCACGGTTTTCAAGGATCGATTACATGTGACGCTCCACGTACCTCCAGTATTAGGTGCTCCACAGCTGTTTTCGTTAGAAACCAGTGTGCCTCTCGGGAAAGTAGTTATTGTTCCGTAATAGCTGCGGATGCCACCGGACCTGAAGTACTGGATCACATCACCTTACTTTTGCCCGATTCCCAGTTAAGCCGTAGTCGGTGGATGGATCCTAGTGAGTACACGTTTTCAGTCCGGCTGCCTCACGTTAACAACGTGACAACAGATATGCAAGCATGCATCATACAGAAAATTGTGGTCGATGAACAAGTCATAGCAGTCATTTACTACGATCTCGACAGAAGGCAGTGTGAAAATTTGCCCTCTGTGGAGCTCACCGGGTTCCAAAAATACACCAGCCACGCGGACACCACTCAGGTGCCAACCACTAGTGGTGCCTTCATACCAAATTATACCTGTGCGCCGGGGCACAGTATACCTCGTACTATCCATGCCACTCCAACGTCCTTGTCTCATGCACTCACTCCTCCTAGTACGGATTCTTCTCTCCGAGCTGTTCCATTCCATGGATCGCCTTATATGATGTCTTCATGAACTTAACGAACACGTAATTTATTTATCACCGTACGCTTTTCGTTTGAACTTTTTGTTGTGTCAAACTTGCGGCTGAAGCCATTCACGGACCATGTTGATTCGGACGCACGATCAGCTTTTAATCTGCTTTGCTTAACTTTAAACATGTATCTTTCATCGTCTGTTGCATGCTAATGTAGATACCGTGTACGACTTACTGCGCATCATAATGTGTATGGCATTCTACGTGTTACGATCTTGTATAATTGGACAAACTGTGGGCGGCGTCTCGCACTCGACTATCGTAATGGTGCTGTTGGAGAAGGGACAGTTCCCAGAAACTCGTCCCAAACGGATGACACAACTGAGGGTCATCAACTCCAGGGAGGTATACACCATCAAACCGCCTATCTTCAGTCGATAACAGGGCTTCGAGTTTCGGATCCTTAGCGACCAAACTTTCCACAAACTCTAGAGCGCGGAGGGCGGAGCTTGAAGGCCAATTGAGTGACGCAATCAGTAGGCGTTTACCAAACGCTGCAGATCTCCAATGTATCGCTGTGTTTCCAGTACTTCGCGGAGAAAAAACGATATTCAGCGCACGAAAGAGCATGTCCGCGATGGATGCCTGTTTTGAGTTCCCGAATTTTGAGACAAAAGCGCTTGGTGGAGGCGCGTCGACTTGCATCGAGATGCTGACTGGCAGTATGATGGCATATAGATGATTGACGAAATCGGTAAGGTCAATGTTGAGTGCTTCACCTGAAGTACGGCATTAACAAGGTTGGAGTAATTGAATAGGATAATGACGAACCTTGTCCTGAAAGCAGCTCAAACGCGGTTACAATACACAGTAAGCGGTGTTGGATGTCAGTGTTTGCGTCAACCACAAATGGTTCTGAGTCATCGCTGGCGTTTTCCCCCGGTTCATCGCGGAGAATGAGATCCTTTAGGACCTGCATTAGATCTTTGAAGAAGTCGATATTGATGAGGTGAGCAAATTTGGAAATGCCCCGCAAGGCTGCCGGCAGAAGGGGCGTCGGGCGGGGATGTTTGAGTATGCGGAAATACAACACGAATAGAAGTTTCAGGGTCTCGGTATGCTACACCAGAACCGTACGTCAAGTTTTTATATCGACGAGTTACGAAACTCACTGTATTTGCTCGTTCTTCTTTGTCAACTTCCGCTTCTGCGTCCCGCATCTCTCGTTCGATCTCCTTCCGCTCTTTCAGGACTTTTCGCGCCTTTTTGCTAAGATGGGGTTGTTCAGTTGGTTTGCCTTTGGCTCGGCGGGCCGCGGCCTTGCCCTTTGACTGGATGTTTTTGTCTACTTTGGAATCCGATGCGCGGACATCGCAAAGTTCTGTCTTGAGGCGCAGATGCAGAAGACACGTAAGGACCTCAGGGTGTACATTAAAGTGTCTTTCCTTAATCATGCGGTTTAGGAGTTGGACAGCCTCCAGGGACGGGGTGCCAGTCTGATCCTGGCGAAAGATACTGATCAACGTATTCATACAGAGATCAGAAGCCTGACATGATAATTGTCAATTATCAAGTGGAGAAGACACGTCATATATTGGCTAACTTACCTCATCCCACGACTTCTTGCTCAAGCGCGCCACAATACACGTTATCAAGTTGGTTCTAAAATTGAAGTGGGTAACCTCAGTGGCCAGGGTACAGATACACTTAAGCGCGACCTCTGCCAGTTCGCTCTTGGCTATATGGAAGCCGTCAGCAAACCACTATCAGTAAGCAACTATCAGATTAGAACCATGCGTCACCTTTGAGTTCAGCCTCAAGCGAGCGGAGGTAATTTTGATATACAATCACAAAGCCCTGTTCCCACTCTCGGGTACGGGCCACCATTTGGCTGACTTTTTCAGCCTTTTCTTTATCGGTCAACGCTCGTATCCGGTAGCCGGGTATTATGTCCTTGAAAACAGCGAGCTGTGAAAGAGTAGCTAACTTTCGGATAATGATATTGTTTAGAACCGGCTCTGGGTGGGAAGGAGACGTAATTTTATCCAGAGAGAAAGTATGAAGCCGGCGAAGTAGTCCTAACTGTCAAATGTGTCAATCAGACTGGTTGACGTGGGGGCGAAGTACGTACGCTATTTTCTGGTTCTGCAATTATTTCCTGGCAGATGCTGGCGATTTGGTCTTTAGCACCCTGTATCCGGGCTTTTCGCGATTTGTTGCCTACGATGTCGATGACGGCGGGACGGCCAAAACGTGCACCGGTCGCAACATCATCTATTTTGTTCACTTCAACGGGCATTTCTTGCTCTTCCGCGGATTCGTCGGTGTCATTGCCTTCTTCGTCTGATGATGGAGGAGCTGCAGTTTTCATGCCTGTTGAATGTATTCGCCCATCCGCTGACTTGATTGGCAGCCCTTGAATGTGACGGTCCGTCTTTACCTCGCGTGATTCTTGAACTTTCCGAGGAATACGTTCGTAAGACATCTCGGCGTCGGAATCTAGATCATCTTCACTAGATAAATCTTGATCACTGTTGTTGATAGAAGACTGGGAAATTGTGTCCGCGTCATCGTCAATACCAGAGCTCCAGGCCTCTTCGTCCTCATCATGAGAGTCGATTGATGGCAAGTCATCGTCTACTTTTGGTTTGCGAACTGGCTTGTTCAATTGTTTCAGACGCTCAGTCTCCTTCTTGCTCCTGTGAAAGGTGTTATGTGAATTTAATCACCGTGTAAGAGAGAACATACGTTGATATGCCTTTGCGATCAAGTGTATTTAAGAATCCAGCCCTGTCTCCGAACTCCTCGAGGAGACCAGCATCCTCCTCGGAGAGATCACTATCTTCGGTGTCCGCATCACCGTGGTTTCCAGGTACCTCGATATAGCCTCTGTCTGCAGCTCGCTCCTTCCCTTTCTTCGATTGTGTTGTACCGGTCCTTAGTTTGCTGTTTGCCTGAAGCTTTCGCTTTTTGGAGGGTGCCTGTGCCCAACTATCAGCTATAATTACATAGCAAATTTGTACAGACGTACTGGGGCAGCAGGAGCCGTCCGCTTTTTACCCTTTAACGCCATGAAGTTCTACTGGTCTCTGGAGGATTTCGGTGAAGTAGTTGCAGAATCGAAAATATGTCTGCTACCCCAGAAAGGAAACAGACTTGGTGAACGCGACACTGCCACTGACGCGTTCTTTAGTAGCCCCATTCCGGCGTACGGCAGCTTCAAGAGCTTGACCATCGACTGATTTAGGCTATCTCCCTAAAGTACTGTGGTACCGCATCGCGCGATGGACGGTAGAGCCACCCCACCACCTGTTCACCATGTCCTCAGGCCACATCATATCGATCTCATAGCAATGCTATTGTTGATTTTCAAGGAATACGAGCTTCAGAAGACTTTGCCAAAAGACTTTCTGCTTTATATGTATCGAGTTCTCTTGATGGAAACGTCTGAGGTAGGGTTGAGTTTTCCCCAAGGAAAGTTTGTGATCAATAATGTCTGCCTCAGGTGATTGAACATAGGTCCCATCAGCATATGCTGGCGATGGTCAAAGTCGCGCCGAATGCAGATGCGCCCGTTGTCCAGGGACTTATAGGCGCTCTGGAGAATGTGGTCGGTTCATACGTGATATTGCTTCCTGGTCCTCTCTCACCGGATATGTGATCATAGGCAAACCAGCTACGAGCGCTGGACCAACTAACTAACTTCTTCCTCAGTACGTTTTTGTGCTAGTTTACCTTTCAGTCATGAATACTTCCCAGGCACACCTTCAATATTTGTTGAAAAAAGTGATGACCAAGTGAGCCAAAGTCATTCCTCGGTAGAGGGCGATAGGTAACTGATGGTCCCCAGCCGGCCGTTCTGGTACGCAGTTGCTCACTCCTGTAGCGTTATAGCTTAGAAAATCGGCCATAGCGTCGAACATCCCTGTTCGGTTTTTTTGTACGCAGATGCTTCGTCAGTTTCATCAAGTTATCAGTTCTATGGCGTCAGTGCAACTTCAAAAAGACTACCAGGCGTGGGTTAATGGATCGAGCAAGCGCAGGTTATGGGCCAATAGAGAAGGACCCGCTTACTTCTGATATCTGGCTATTCAAGACGTCGAGTGACTTGAAATCTTGGGCGCGACCTGAACCATTTGAAGCGTGAGCAATCCCTCTTCCTTCTAGCAGACTAGGACTATACAGTAATGATTGGACAATAGATGGGAAAAAGGTCTGGCAACGGGAGATGATATCATAGGTCCCGAAAACTTGCGTAGATATTTTGAACAACATTTCCATGAACACAATGATTCGTGCGTCGTGTTTGCTCAGCTGTCTGCGCCCTGCCTCACTGGGTATCTTGCAGGGGTGTTCGACAGCATGCGTTGCTGAATCTGGTACGCATGCACTATACTCGAAAGGAATATCCTGCTGCCAGCAAGGTATCTTGATATCATTCCTTATCCTTCACAGTTCTTATAGTGTCCACATACAGTTACTTCGCGAAGCTATTGCAGTCGCTAGAACAAGCGGAGATCGTATCACGCTCCAGCATTGTATCAGGTAATCTATCTCCTCGTTTAACTGTGAAATGTTGATTTCCGGTGTAGCATGCTTCATCGCTTGCCATCCCTGAACGAAACTCCAGTCTTGAATGAGATTCAGCCTGACCTTCACCCGCTGGAGGTGTTGTTTGACGTGACAAAATTACTTGATCCGCAATACGTAAATGACGGCCCATGACACTGCACGATTCCATCACTGATGCCCTGCGTAGGGACAACCGCTAACCTTGTGCTTCGAGAAATTGACCGAGGCTATTGCCCTGCATAATCACTGGGTAGACACCAAGCAAGCAATGCCTCGTGACGCAGACATTTGCAGTCACAATGCAATGCAAGCTGTACTATGGCAAACGTTAGGTGGGGCTATCCAGAGCTAGCATGACCGAGAAACTGACGTTTACAGGATGCTACGATCTTGCCGATGTGGAGGAATCGTTCGTGTTGTTAATTACGAGGGGTGGCAAAGACGACCCAAACCGCCTGAACACGCT